CCTTTGGATGACCAGCAGTCCCATTCTGATGCTGCCATCTCAGTGGAAGAGGGGAGTTAGAAAGGTCGGCCCCAAAAGTAACACACTCCACTGTATCTTACGGTCTGCCGGGCCGGTGGTGTTGGTTCATTTGTCCTTTCTTTTCGATCATCCGGCCCCAAAACAACAAAAGTTCAAAATAATTGTACACAGAAGGCTGTGTTTGATAGGCCTCAAGTAGACGGCTGACGGGCTGTGTGGTCACACAAATCTCTCTTAGGTATCTTAAGAATAAATAGCCTTCCACGGTGTGGGCAGCCAGGAAGCGTCAACCGCCCTCACGACTCGATCGGCACTCAAGTTTCCTTAGACTATCATACACCTCCTCCATTATTACCTTCTAATATTCCTCCATGTCTCTCAATTAACAATACTACATCATCTTCAATTCCTCCTAACTCTGCAGCCTTCTGCAATGATCTGAGTCCATAGAACAGCATCCCTGGTCTCTTTAACCACGCTCCAAATTACAGATTGGAGCCATCAATGTCCGCACCCCCCATCAAATTGGTAAACAGGCTTCATTGATCAAGACTCTAGCAACTCGAGGCATGGATGTGTGCTGTGTTTTTGAGACACGCATATAGGACCCAAGTGCGGTTATTCACCTGACCTCTCCCGACCAATCTAGTGAATCCAACAAAATTCACCCTCCGAGTTTCTGGAGATTCGATAGCTAGCTCTCGTGGTCTTGCAGGTGTAGGCATAGCATTAAGCACTAGGGCAGAAAACTCACTACTACACTGGATCCCGGTTGATAGTCGCCTCTGTGCTATCCGACTGAACGGCACAGTGAGAACTAAAAAAACAGGGAAACTCACCGTTGTCTCTTTGTAATCTCTGCTTACGCACCCACTGACTGCAGCTCGAATGTAATGAAGGACGAGTTCTACCGGAAACTGTCTAGCCTCCTCTCGAAAGCCAAACGTTCGGACGTGGTGGTTGTTGCAGGTGACTTCAACGCACAGGTGGGTAGACTGAGTGCGGCAAAAGGCACTTACGTGGCACTTTCGGAGTCCCAGTTGAATGTACAGATAACGGTGATCGCCTACTAAAACTGTGCTCAGATAACCGACTATTTTCAGCTAGCACTAATTTCAGACATAAAGAAAGACACTGTCTAACGTGGAGTCCACCGAGCTCAATACAGCGATGGACACATAGACCACATTGCTATTAGTCGTCGCTGGAGAGGATCGGTGTGAGACTGCCGCTCCTTCTGGATAGCGACCACGCGTTGGTCCGAGTGCATATATGCCTGCGTCTCAATGGACGTAGGAAAAATCTGGCAACAAAACCACTACGAGTGCTGCTGGACAACGAAAACACCAAAGCCGCGTTCAATGAGAGGTTGGCTATGCAGTTATCGAAACAAAAGACTGTCTCTCATCCAGAAGAAGCTTGGTGCCATCTCCAGTCTGCTGTAAAGGCAGCGTTGATGACTGTAGCCAACTCCGAATGAGTGGCTAGAAAGAGCCAGTGGATATCATCAGCTTCTTCCGAACTAATGGATGCACGTGAAAACATCCATGCAGGCTCTGAGTACAATGAAGAGCGAGCACAACTTAAAAGTAGATTGAGAAAAAGTCTACACAACGACCACGAACAGTGGTGGGTAGCGAAGGCTAAAGAGATGGAAAAGGCGGTGGAGATTGGTAACAGTAGACAGTCATTTAGACTTACCAAGGAAACTGGGGGAAAAGGTCGACTGCGGTTAGTCAGACTATAGCGGAGAAAGACGGGTCTGCGATTCACTGGCAGAAGAGACGACTGGACCGATGGACAGAACACTTCGAGGAACAGGTTAACTGGCCTCCAGCCACCATTGCGCTGCCCACTATCCAGTCGGATCCTGAATGAGACATTGAGATAGGCCCTCCAACATCTGCAGACGTCGAGAAAGCGCTAGATAACCTGAAACGAGGAAGAGTAGCAGGACTAGATGGACTAACTCCTGAGGTATACAACGATGGTGGTAGAGTGCTCTTAGTCAGGTTAACCGAAGTATTAACTAGTGCATGGGAATCAAATATGATATCCTCTGACTGGTCTAAATCACTGATTATCCCAGTCCCGAAGAAAGACAAGAAGTCCTCTTGTGATAACCACAAAGGAATCAGCCTGACAAACATACTATCTATGATTCTGGGTTCAATGATTCTTCGACGACTGAGTGGAACTACGGAAGAGCAAGCTCGAGAAAATCAGGAAGGTAGGCTTTAGACCCGACCGTGGGTGTATCAACTGAATATTCACACTGCGCCAGGCTCTGGAACACAGACACGCTAACTGACACCCAACTATAGCTGTATTTCTCAACCTGAAGGTTCATTTTCGATTCCGTTACTCGAGAAGTCTTATGGCAATGTCTCTCACTAAAAGGCGTGTCGAGTAAGTACATCACCTTATTGAAGGCTCTCTACTCGAACACTTGTAGGCATGTTACAGCCTATGGTAAGATATCCAGGGGGCTGTATTCGTCAGGTGGTGTCCGTCAAGGGTGTTTACTCTCTCCACTCTTATTCAATTTCATCAAAGATATTTTTACGCAGGTCTCCCTCTCGTCACCTGACTATGCAAACTGACCTAATCACAGGAGAATTCTACCTAGACTTAGAATAAGCAGACGACATAGTCCTGTTAGGTGAAGACGCTGACGAGGTGCAGAATCTTGTGAACACTTTGAGTAGCAATTCGAGAATGGGATGCGGATCTCACCACCCAAATGCAAATTGTTGCTCCAGGATTGGTCTTCAACGGTGCCACGGCCAACAATAGAGTGTGTCGACCACTTCACTTACCTGGGAAGTAGGATCAGCCCTACCCTGGTGGTTCAGTGGCCGATGAAATCTCTTCAGGGATACAAAGGGCTCGAATGGCTTTTGCCAATTTACTTCACCTATGGCACCGCCATGATATCCGATTGTCTATTAAGGGTCGCATGTACTGCACAGAACTCCGGTCTATTCTTCTATATGCTTGTGAAACATGGCCACTGAAGTTGAAAGACATGAGAAGGCTTCAGGTGTTTGACCACCACTGCCTTCATAGTATAGGGCGTATTCGTGGTGTCACCACGTGAGTAACGCAGAAGTCAGATGTAGAGTTTTAGGGAGTAGAGGTAAATCAGTTGACGAGGTTATGAACTTCATCGACTGAGATGGTTGTGACACGTACTACGCATGCCTAGTAGCCGATTGCCTCGGCATACAATGTTGGCTAAAGTAGGCCCAGGGTGGAAAAAGGCGTGAGGCGGTCAGACCAAAACATGGCACCAATGTATGAAGTCTTTGACTGTTGGTTTCAGCCATGTGCGGCGATGCAGACTAGGTGGTTTGGGTCCACGGGACAAGAGAAACCAGTGGTTGGAGGCTCTAGGTGATCACATGGCTCAGAACTGATATCAGTGGCACAGATGTATACATACATTATCCTCATATTAACGATGCTATACGGAATCTCACCATTTTGTCATTCTTCCTTCCTCTCTTTTCGTACTTTATATTTCTTTTGACTGAATTTTCTTATCTTCATCTTGCACTTCACTGCTTTTTTACTTGATTTACTGATATGAGATGTGGTAACTCGGACCGTTACGCAGTGATGCCTGGTGCTATGTTGATGATGGTGACTGTACGCACACGTATACATGTACATATCATGCATGAGACGCTAAACCAAGGGGTTGTTTATTTTTGTTATAACGTGAAGGAAATTCATTTCCCTCGTAAAAAATTGTTAACATGTGAACCACCATCATTAATAAAGTAGTATACATCACAGACTCTCATCAGCTGGAAAACCACTGGAAATCTGGAAGCATTGAACATCTATTTTGTTCTAATATGGAGTCAGCAGTGCGCTGCTAAGATCTTGCCAGGAATCGAAATCAAGATGTTCATCATTATAGAGCAATATCTAAGTCTTAGTGATGACATTTAGAACACAAAATTAATGCTAATTGTGTCATATGATTATGAACAGTAATTTATGCTCGTAATATCAGTCAGTAGATTACATCTTATCAATGTGTGCCTAATCAAATAAATTAATCTAACATGTAATTCTTTTCTGCTACAGTGCCCCAATCTTACTTTTCATAGCTTATAGATTATTGAGGGTTATTCGATTAAGCAATGGTTTTTAGTAACTTTGTGTACAAAACGGAAAATTTACCAAAGATTCTTTTATGAGTTTAACAATTGCACATAAATTCATAATTATTATATCACTTTAGGACTTATTAAATCTTTATGCTGGAGTTACTAAATAGCTGTGTATCACCACCTGGTAAGAAGGGGTAATATGTGCGAAAATGGAGAGTTTTTGGCAATTAAAAATGTATGCATTTTGTGGTCAGAGTAGTGCAATATATTTGTTCCATGTTTTTTTTGCAACATTAAAAGATTCACCAAGTAAAACAACCGATATTCCAGATATTTAGTGTATAACTGGTTGTCTATAATTTTTCTTAGACTACAAGCTGAATTTCTCCAGTCATGATGACAAGGTGAACGGGCGACTAGTTCAGATTCTTAAAAAGTAATCATATTATGACTTAAAACAAATTTCTTTGACAAACTGGTTACTGAGTAAGCAACAAATACATCGAATAATTGCTATCAATTTACTTTATCAGATTCAATAAGAAACAGTTAATCTGCTTATATTACAATATGGTTCACTTAAAACTTTTGATACCGTTTTTGTTTAGTTTTATCCCATTCAGAAGTGAATAATATCATTTGTGCTTCAATGATCTTATAACCTTCTTAGACTAGTTTCAACTAGATGAAACAATTTACTCAGGTTGTGATGTGCAGGCCACTTTTTCATAGTAATAAACATTTGACTTTTAATTTTTCTATAGACCTCTACCAGTTTTGATAAAAATGGCAGTTTGTATTCAGTAGAGGAACATAGATACACACTTTTGTAAAACATGTATACGTGAAAATTACCTTTTGCAGCACGTAGCTGAATCTCCGATAACAAGCACTTCGTCTTTTCACAATTTGGATTGAATACTAACAGGTACTGGCAGTAGATTAAAGCTTTATTGTAATCCTTTAGTGAAGATCAAGGTAAGGAAATCAGATTTATTACTTTCAGTTTTGCATAGCAAACAGCCAAATAATATAGACATTCACCTTGTAATCTAGTCAATTTGTTGTTCCTTAAAATATCTAAAGAACAAACATTATAAAAAGTCCATAAAAGCAGAAAAATACCACATACATAATATTACTTCCATAGATTTCTTCACGCAATCTTCATTAGTAGTCCTTAGTAGATTGACTGCATATTCCACGTGTAATTCATATTTAAATGTATCAGTAGGTGAAGATGATTCATTTTGTTTTAATCGATTAAATGGATGCAATAGCACTAATTTCAAACTTGTTAACTTTAATGAAATAAATTCAAAAATCCCAAGTAGAAGATGACCAATTTTAAAATGGAAAACGATGAACAACCTTAAAATAAATAGCATGTTGTATAATCTATCAAATTACTGTTGGTTTAAAATTCATACTTAAATACACAATATCACATTCGATAATTAAAAAAGTTTAGTATTAGTGTTAATTTATTTGCACCATAATTTTTGTGTAAATTACAAGTTTACTGATCTTTCAACTCCAATTACGTTATTTTTGTGCAGAAAGTCAGTCGATTATGTTAACAAGTATAATCATATTCATTCGAACTGAAATAAGACCAAAGTCCATAGAGATTCATGAACATTTTTTGTCAAAATCTTTAGATTCATATAAAGCTAAGAAAACCTTTTCTAAAGCTGTTAGACTGAAAAAAACTGTGAAACGTATCACTAGATAGAAATACTAGGTGAAAGTTTTAGGCTATGCCTAATAAATCAGATAGATTATAATGCGTAAGATCCAAAAACTAAGGGGATACTTTGAAATTTTTAAAAAGGCATCAGTTACTTTCAGATTCGACAAGAACTAGCGAAAACCACCCTAAAGTGTCGATGAAATAAACTTTAAAAAATGGGGAATAATCTGATAGTTTCTGAATCGTGACAACATTTTATACAGTTAATATATTTCAGCAGTTTGACGTGTTTTCTATATGACAGACAAACAGTGATTTTCAAAGCTTATCAGTCAGTTAAATATATATATATCTATGAAAAGTTTGTGCATTGTAGGATACATTAATATATTGTCAGTAAATTTTTAATGAAAAGTTTTTGTTTTAGTAATATTTCGAGCAAAATTACTGTTTGTAATCACACAAGGAGTTGCAATTTTTTTTCAGTCAGACACTGAAGACATCTGCTGTAAGACATTGTCTTTAGCTTGAGGATAGAGTATAACATGTAGTCATTCAACAACCGTTTCACTTAAGCTTAGAATCTTTAATTATTTCACACTGATACATTCTGTGCTTAGGTCCACACCCTCCACGGATCATATTGGTTAGTTATTGAAGAGGGATCAAAAGTTCAGGATTACGTCCATGATAACAGCTAAAACCAGCTGTCTCACTAGAAATTGGCAAACTAAAATTTATCCAATGATTAAATTTTGATAATAGTACTTGAATTACCCTGTTTACATGACAAAGTGATGTGTGGCTAACTGAAAGTAAATTACAAACTTTACTATTTACTTGACAAGTTGCAAACAGACGAAAATAACACAGAGTGATACCATGTGGTTGTAAATCTTCGACTTTTAGCTACTTTTTCTTTAAAACAGTTGAATTTACAAAAATTGAAGTTGGGATAACACTCATTATACAGATGGTTATGTAGTTAATCTACACATTTCAAAACGAATGATTGCTAGGAACCCCATCATCACAATAACTATAATCAGCCTATCATTCCACTAGAGAAGTCTCTCCCAATAAAAGATTCTATTATGATGATGAGTGTATACCTGTTTTTTAAAAGTAGCGAAAAGGAATGAAGTGAAGTGTAACCAAACGAGTCGGACTGGAAGTCCAGTTCAACTAAACAGTGCGAAACAAATCAGGCTAAAAGCTTGAGAAAAAATATGATTCGAATTTGAATGGCACTTACCTGGCTATAGATAAATGCCTCTGATCAAGTTATTTTTTAACTCCATGAAAGTTTGTTTTGTCAGCTATCTGCTTGAAACTTTAATATATTTGCTGCAGAGGAAAGGTGTGTCAAGGAAGTGTCTTATTTACAGACAAGTGAAGTGCTGAACAGTTTCATAAATTAGAAGACCAACTGTCATGTGTTCATATTTCACCTTTGTATACTTTTGGAAATGTAGTATATCAACTGTAAGATAATGTAATTCAAGAACATCTTTTTAATCTGTTTAATAATTTAGAATTAAAGAACGCAGGTTTACATGTACAGAAGGACACATATTTCTTACGAACTGTAAATATGTAACGCTCATCCATTTCACCAAGCGTGAAACCTAGACTTACAGCTCTCAACTGAATGATTATAACATTAAACGCGTTACTTTGTACAAAATATATGAAGTTAATGACAGAGTCTGAACAGAAGATTTGCTTATAGTGAATGTAGAACAAAAAGTGTTGAACCAAATGTGAAGGCGAAAAGTGGGGAATTAGTGATTTTAGGGAAAAAATCAACTCAAACTTGAGTAATGCCTAAGGCTCTGAAAATATCTCAATTAACTAAGTGGCATTTATTATTTTATTATTATGAATTATTCTACTTATCAATTTTCAGTAGTAGTTATAAAAATGTTGAGTTTGAGTATTAAGAACTAGTTTGTGTAAGGAAAGTGGAAAGGAAGTGAAAATAGCCGTAGGTTGACGATTAAATCACTTACGAATAAAACTTTTCGCCAAGAAATTTAACAAAAATTAGGACAACCAGTTTGTATTCAGTATATAATCGGACTAAGTATGCAACAGTACAGGAAACTAATATCATTTATGAAAATATTTTATTGCTTGTCATGGTTAGTTGATTGTTTGTTGTATGCCAGAAACATTGGATAGTCTATTATGTACTTCATTACACTTTGCCATCATATTTTAAGGTTGGTTATGTGTATGATAGTTTTGATTATGCCGGAATAATACAGTTAAACTGAGAGAGCTTAGCTGATTGGTCTGAAACAATGAAAAGTGTATTGATTTGTCACTGCAAAGTAATCAACTTCATATTGTCTTGTCCAAACTGCCGTCCGAATTCAGTCCATCATTTTGTAATGTGATCAGCAAGCTTCCTGCCGGTTGTCTTCAGCCACTTAGCATCAAGTAAAATTGTGCCGTGATAATGGGCTTTTTAACTTGATGAACATATTATAAAATGACCAGTATAATTGTCAGAACTTTGGATTGAATAAAATGAAGTTGTTTTCTATCCAGTAACCAAGCAGTATATCGAATCTAGTCATATATGAGGTTAATCGTGACCTGAATACTTCGAGGATGATATCTACAAGTACAGCTGTGGTTGGCGTGGGTTGGAATTTCTGAAAAGACACGAGTTCTAAGGAGGTTGCAGATACGCAATACAGACGAGTACCAACAATCAGGAAGTTTAGGTCCAAGGCTTCCTGCCAGTTGCCTCCAACCATCTAAAGAGAAATACAATTAAAATCCAAGAAAATATATCTAACTAAAAATAACACATATGAACTAAAATTTCTGAAAAGAATGAATCCGCAATTTGTCTACAAAATAATTCTGACCCTTCAGTTGGATGGGATAGTATGGATTGATTTACTGTCTTCCACTTATTCTTACTGGATCTTGTTTTTGTGTTGGGAGAGATACGAGCAGAATTCCATTCCTAGAAATACATAATATTTGACAGTGACACATGGTAAGCTCAAGAAGTTGGTGATATATCTCCTTGCAGCAGTTTTTATAAGCGAGAAAGATATATAATCTGCACATGGTATCTCATTGTGCTTCTATATTTTGTCTGGATATGTCAGTATACATTAGACTACCATACGTCAGGGATGACGACGGATTTAAGGTGTGTGCCAAGAATCGAAGTTTTCCCTATAGAATTGTTCCGAAGTATCTTCAAGTGCTGATGACGAGGTATGAAGCGACAGTTGATGACCTTTATGCTAAAAAATTCTGGTGGTAATAATAAATACCGAAGTAAGTTCTCTCTAAAAGGAAAGTTTACGCCAGGTATTCTGCCTGACACTTAAGTTTTCTTCAAGAAAAACTAAGTAACCTTCTCGACTTGGCTGAAAAATGCTTGACTGTAGACGATTTACAGTTTATTCCCGCTACGGAAAAGTAACTGACATCTAAAATTCGACGTATTAAACTAATATTGCATCATTCTTCAGCAGCAATTCAATAAGTTTACGACCGTTTCTTATCAATATCGGAGTTAATAAATAGCTGTCGGCAGTATTAGCCATAACACTAGCCACTGATATGCTCCAATGACAATGAAATTGCATCCAGCAGTTTACTTTCCACGATCTAGCTCATTAATCTGATATTAGTTCTGTTCGAAACGGTTATTGAAGTCTTATCACTCCCTATTTTACAGAACACAAACAAAAAAGATTGGTAGAATCTGATTGTTTACTGAATAGTTACTGAGACATTTATTTGGTTTGGAAGTTTGTGTGGATTTCTTGGTGTGAAGTAGCATTATTCATGGACTGACATTAGTTGGAGATCTATTGAAGCTTGGGAGAACTGAAATGCTATCTCATCCCAGTAAGCGACTGCTCATCAGCGTGCGCCTATGTCCATGTGAGATGAACTTTTCGAAGTTCTAATGAGAAGCGATGACTTATGGGGTCGGTTAAGTTGGGTCTGAGAATAAATGCTCTGCGATGGCGTAAGATGAAGGTCGTTTTACTTGGCAAGATGGTATAAGCAGGAAGGTCTAGACCATTGGGTTTCAATTCAGGATCTGAATGGCTTGGTGCTCACCACAAAAGCTGGTAGTCTTAATTTCTATCTCTAGAGGGGTAATTGGTACGTACTATTGAGGATTCCCATACTAGGAAGAAATAAATGCTCATTTTCCTCAGGTTTTCAATGGTTCTCCAGCTGATATCAGTCACTAATGGATGGCTTATTTAAATATTTACTTTACGATGAACGACTATATGACAATGTAAACTGCCACTGCAAATGTTTTTCTTGCGGACTAGTCAGAAATGAGATTCACATATGTCTGAATCAACTATGCATACAATGCTCGTAATGCACAGCAGCCCAGTATATCATCACTAAAGTGGTGTATTCAACTTATTTACAACTAACTCTTCCTTTTAAAGAAGTATTCATTTGTTTTCTATCGAATAAAAATAAAACAACATTATCACGTTATGACAGTGAAGCAAGCAGTTAATTCTGTATTGCATCCAAGCTGCATACATATATTCACTTGGTGCTAGTTTCCTTGAAATCTTAAGACCAGATTTTATGATTATCGTTTCAAAATTATATGAAGAAATAAGACGCAGATAGACACACTAATGTGGTATTATATAATCAAGCAGTTCTAACATGGATTCCAGACTCATAGTAGCAGTTCAGCAGTCAGCGTGCCATTATCCTACGTCTCTCCAAGATCAATTACTGATACAGCAGTAAATGAATCAAGTTATGCAATAACCTGGTAATCAAAGTAATGAATTCTACCAGACAAAT